GTGTGTGTGTGTGTGTGTGTGTGTGTGTGTGTGTGTGTGTGTGTGTGTGTGTGTGTGTGTGTGTGTGTGTGTGTGACTGAAAAGCATATGCTAACTGTTGTATTTTCAATAAATGCGGTGTATTTGCCTTCTCCTCTATAAAAGATCCCATGTGCTTTGTATAGCATAACAAATACACTCCAGTTTCACTGTTGCTTGTTATTCAGGCCTTGTCTACATGAGAAAATTGTATCAATTAACTAAATCAGTTTAGAAACTGATGTTAAATCTGTGCAATACTCTTATATAGACACTTCTGTTGCAATTTAAGTTTCTCATATGAATTTGGTTTAAATTGATTCTTTACCAACTTTAGCCAAGTCAGTCGACAGTGCTGGAATAATTTTTATAGTCAGAGTGCTGAAGGTGGAAACCATGTATTTGGGTTGTTATTACTACTTCAAACCAGGGAGTGCAGCAGCACCCCTAGTTTCAGCATCTATGAAGTCCATATAAGACACTCTTTCTGAAACTGAAATAAGATTGTCCACACAATGGGGTTGTGACAATTTAACCAAATCCATTTATAAACCAAGTTAATTAAATTAGTACAATTGCCTCATAGACAAGGCCTCAGACAGCTTCTTCTCAAATCTCAGTTTAGCTGTAAAAGAGGTGCTATTGTGGCTGTGAAAAAGTCTGTAGTTTTACACATTTTCGTTAGCTTTGACCTACTTAGCTTTCTGTTCACTGAATTACACTTTTGAGTTTGGATTCAATTGAACTCAAAGCAAAATGTAAATTTTGCCCAGTTTCACACCGAAGACATGCAATTTCTGCATGGTCCAGGTTCACACAAATTGTGTGAGTAGTCCAATTAATTTGGGTTGAATTCCCAGTTTGTAATGAAACTCTAAACCAAGCAAGTTTTATGTGTCTTTGAGTTTCCTGTGATTATTCTTCACAGAACTCATACTGGCATGTTTCCAGTACTCTTAAAAATGAACTCATCATTCTGTTCATTGTCTTCACTATATATGTTTCTGTTGCAAATTGTGATCAGAGGATGCATCTGATCAGAAGCCAACTTGAGAGAGAGCTATTGGCAGGATGTTTTCTGTGGGGGGACCTGTTCTCAGTAATTCACGTCCCCTTTCTTCATCAGCCAAAGCCTGTATTTAACTTTCTGGACATGCTTCAAAGCTCACCTTTGTTCATGGGCTTTTGGGCTAGTGGGACTAAACCTTTCACTGGAGTTCTATGCCCTGGTTTTGAATGAGTGGAGTTTTGGCATCTGTTGGTTTACTGTTATAACTGAAGCAGTGGACTGACTTTTTAATTTTAGAACAGTTCTTATTGCATCTGGCTAAAAAAATAATTTGAATTTTTAATACTTTGGCAAGAAAGAGCTAATGTGTTTTGCAAACATTTTTACAAAAAACATTTTGACCAGCTTTACTGCAGGTTGAAAATATTGGAACTTAAAACGCTTTTTGATTGGCACGAAAAAGACATTTTCACACAAATGGCTTCCTTTTTTGACTAGTTATTTCATGTTTTAAATTATATGTCATGTCTACAGCCCAGGACAAGTGCTGGATAAATAAAAAATAATTATGTATTTTTGCTGTTATAAGGTAAAACAGTAACAGACTAAGTCAGCAAATGTAGCTATTTCTATTAGTCAAAAAACATGTTCTCATGTGGGAGAAATGTGGATCCATAGGCAAACACTCTGAGAAATGGTTCTATTACAGAAGCATTAACTAAATGACCTTTATGTTTTCACATGCATCGAAATCCATGCCAAAATGGAAATAATGTGCTTGTCTCTTTGATAATTTATTATTTGCTTTTACAGCTATAGTAGTGCTGAGTTCCATCATGCATCCTTATTTTGGGAATTGATAACACTATTTTTATATTTTGAGAACAATGCAATCATTGCCATAGAGCTCAAGTTATAGATATATCTCAACCCTGAGCAATAAATGTTTTCTAGATGCCATCTCTGTTGGATTATTCAGATACTTATCTCGTTAACAGCACATTTACTATGTTTGTACCAAACTGGTACAATGTTGGCTTCTAGGTACTACTACAACATAACATTATTATTAATTAGGACTATTTAAACATTTTTCTCTTGTAAAGCTATTTAAAACCAACTGAACAATTATAAAAAAAAGTGATTAAAATAAGCATGATATTCATTTGTTTAAAACAAATGAACAAGGGCCTGGTTGACAGTAGCTATTGAAAAAAATTAC